GCCTGTACTGATAATGGATTTGTTGTGTACTGTAGCTTTAGTTTTGAATGTATTGAAACTTTACTTTGAAGTATTCGTGTACTTGATAGATTTATTCTAAAAAAAATATATAAAATACACTTACTAAACTTATTATAATCAGAAATATTTTAACTTAGATACTAACGATTATCAACAAATGGACACCCAAAAGAATCAAAACACAAGTAACTTAGAAAAAAGCTGTATTTTATTATATGTAATTTTGCAAATAACGACAAAATAAAATAATAAGTCATGACAACTTCATTAATAGCCTTACTGCTTAAGTTACTTCTAGTACTATATTACATGTTTTAAAATAAGTTATCTTAACATATTTTCCGCGATTTATTAAACATTTTCTCATACTAACCAGTAAAATTGCCATCTCTTTAACCGTTTCATACATATATTTTATATTGCACTGAAAAGTAACACAATCATTTGGCTTGTCCGGATAGCACTGTCAAACCGCAGCAGCGATTAAATGGGAAAATGTAACCGTGATATATTACGTTGGTAATTAAAGCTTCATTTGAACATTATTTTTATATTAAAATAATTGTCAGAAACAAAGATGGTCTTCTGTTGGTTTATATTAATTGCCTCAGAATCTCCTTGTGGGCTGAACTAATATCGAAGGCGTGATAGTCATTGGAACAGTTAAATAATAAAAATAAAAAGTAAATTATCTCAAGATAAAGGTTTGCACATTTTGAATATTTTGAATATTACAAGTGAACCAAATCTATGAAGACTTCTGGGACCAATCATGTAATTCGTGATATAAAAAAATGCGCAATATTAATATAGAAAATTTACGTAAATTTTTACTCATTTTTATTGATAAACTAGCCAATCAACAATATCTCTCATGTTCCAAATGAAACTTGGATTTATCCGTTTATTTTAATCGAAAATGAATTCAGGAAACTGGAATATGGGTCAAACATATTTCCATTAAAAGCTCAGCAGCTTTTAATACAAGGTCCTTAACATACTATTTGCATAAATATCGGACCTCGGTAAAATGTTTTTCGACATTATAAATATTTTGTTGAAAATCTTTTCTGCTGATCCAACACCTAAACGTTCTATGTAACTAACGTTGAAGTATTTAGGGTATGTATTTTTTTTAGGATATCATAAATTATTCAAACTCCATGCTCAATGGCTTGGCATTTTTCCTTATAATAACTTTGGATAATTTGACGGAAATCTCTTCAACCATTTGATAGCAGTGTTCAGTTTTTTTTATTCTCAAATAAAAATTATGTGAATTGACAAAAACATTGACCTGTTAATAAAAAAAAATATTTTATTATAATTATTCCTATATAACATTAGACTTTATGTCCCGTATCTCTTATTGTCACTTCAGAAAACATTTAAACCATACTACTTTGATGCCACCACCTTCCTTAGATGTGAAAACCAGGCAAACTTGCCGAAGCCAAACTTGGTGAAAAGTCATTTGAGGATTTGTACTCCTCATAAACACCTTCAAGTTAACCCTAAATCGCTGTATCATTGATAGAGGTACCTTTAGCGACCAGCATCCTTATCAAATCAAAATAGTCTGGACGTGGTTGGAAAAAATTTCATACAACCATATTTACGAGTTTTTCTCTAAAGTTATCATAAAATCTCTTTCCGATAAATAAGAGGAATGCTAATCTTTTGATCAAGCTGGAATTCGAAAAGGTTTTATTACCACAGACCCCATTTATAAATTATCCTAAAGACCGAGGATGATAACTAGCCTTTTTGTCTTGTGGTTGTGGCTTATGTAAAAGCCGTCAAGTTCTTTGACCTGGTATGTTCCGGAGTCTATGTAAAATGTCTTTTTGACAATTAGTATATCCTATGGTAACATAAATATGTATGATAATGCCGCCATCTCGATGAAAACTACGTCACAATGGAGTACAATTCATAAAGGTGATATTCGAGGTAGCAATTGAATGCAGTTTGTCCAGAATTGGAAGAATTAGTTCATTTTGGAAGAGTTTTCTGCTCAGTAGCGGTCGGCGATAGACTGCTATGATTGATTAAAATCCAAAAAGAAGTTATTCAGAATTTATTTATATCATTATGCAAAACTAACCACTAACCACAACTCGTAGTTACAAGATTGATTTCTTTACTAACCTATAAACTGTCATTTAATTTCAGTTTAATGAATATAAAATCTAATATAAACATAAAAGTTATTTTGAGTACTTTGGTTATATACTAATTTTTAATAAATGTTTATGTCCATCTTAGTTCAATACATTATTCAAGTATCATTTTAATATACATACTATTGTTTATTATTTTTTTACCAAACTTATAAAACGCTTTATGGGTGTATATTTAGGTTATATTTTTATGTGCTATACTTAAAAACATATATCAATTGTTTTTTACATGGTGAAATAAATAACTCGACTACGAAGAAGAAAGTGCTTTAAATAATGAATAAAATTGTAAAACTTGATTCAATTAACGATTCAATAGTCTCTAACTGTATATGATTGAATTGGACAAAAAATGGTTAGGTACGTTCTTTTTAGACATTTTTTTTACTTATTCAAACAAAAAAATCAGTACTAAACTCAAAACATAAATATTAATTCTATGTTAACTTGAATGTGGCTCGAAAGAAAAGGTAGACCTCAAATTTTCCAGTGAAAAGTCAAAGTTCTTCATTATAATAAATGTGAGAGCAATGCTTTTAAGTAAAGTAGGTAGGTACCTACACAACTTTTGAGAATTTAATGTACATACATACATTATTACGTTACTATGTACCAAAATCACAGCATTCAAAGTAATTCAGCAGTCATTGTACATATATCAGAACAATTACCTACCAAAATAATCAAAATAATGATTTATAAAAGATTTTCATTCATTGAGATCTAAGACTTTCGCTTGTATTCATTTAAATGAAACTAATATTATTCGGATTACTACGCGTATTTTATTATTTTAAAGAACTACATACTTCCGAAGTTTCAGTTATTTTCAGCAACCGTGATCAGGGGCAGAAAGGCCGTAGATATGTGTTTAGCTTCACGTTGTAAATTACAATTATCTCGTAATTGTAGGTAGGTATCAATGTGAATAGTGTATATGTATTCTTAATATCATTACAAAAGAAAGTTTTATTTCATAATGATCAAGTACCTAAACCTATCAGTATAACCAGCCAACCGTAGGCTTATCTACAATCTGCTCGCTTTCCCGCTTCTGGACAGAGGAGTATAAAATGAAAAAAATGCTATTTTCATAAAACATCTTTACTGCGCCAAACGATATTTCAAGTTTTTTCAGATCACAATTTAAAAAACCATGATAAATTTTAAGTTGCATATACTTTATTCCTTTAAAAAGAAAATCAGAAGAAAAGCAACACGGATTTATATGTATGTATTTCATTTCTAGGTATATACTGCCACAATAAAATCAACGTTTACTTCCAACATTATATGTTTTTTTTTATTGGTATATTTTTTTTATTATTTAGTTCTATTATTAATTTCAAACATCAAGCATATTTAGGGACTCATTATCAAAAAAATTGAATGATATTATGTAGTAATATATTATTAAGTATGCACAAAATGATTTGTTAAATTGTCTGCAAACTTAACTAATCTTCTTAATTTAAATGAAATATTAATTTAATTTAGTTCTACACTTGCTTAGATTCAAGTTTTAACGCAAACGTATTTCTCCCGAGAATGTAAATGCAATTTGATAAATTCTACATCTTACTACTTCCGAGAGATCATGTGTATCTGTAGCTTTACAACTCGGATTCGCTTTTACAAGTATAATAAGCATAGTGTATTTAAAAATATATATACAAAAGAATAACTATATAAGAATATTTATAGCGCCATTTATATGTATATTTTTTTATTATTTGGGGACCAAATAACTCACAAAAGAGGTTCATTACTTTGGGATAACGACAACAAAAATTATAAGCACACATAAGTCAGTTTATAAAAAGATTTATTTTAACCCACTCCTCTTAGTTATTTTCCACTGTAATCTCAGGTTTAATATCGAACGTTCATTCCCAACGGATATAACGCCGACCACGAAATGGTCGCTAAGCTCCCAGTTCCACTCTATGAAGTCGACTTTCAACTGAAAAAGTTAAATGGCTTGGAATGAGGAACCCGTAATAGAAAATGAGACCATTTTATTTCCTCGCTCGTGTTTAATATCAGATTAAAATATTATATTACAGAGACATTTTAATAGTATAAAATACTCAAGTCTATTAACTGTGTGTTTTGAATTATCTCAATGGGACATTAAAACGTGATAATGTTCCTTTTTTTATAACATTCAACTCAAGTAAAATTATTGATGGTTTAAGTATATCAGTTACACAAGAAATTAATATAAAAGATACCATTTTCTAATGATACACATTCACAAGATAAGGGAGCGGAATCACAATTTCATTTCAAAATGAGTTTCCATTTTAAGAAATGAATACTTATTGACTATCGAGACGCTATTAATGAATCTCGGGTGCTGAGCAATAGCATCTTAATTCCCTTGAAAAATATTCAATAAACGTCTCAGAGCGGCTCCACAAAAAGGTAGGTGAGAGGCTACTTATTGGATACGCAAGAATCTTATTAAGATCTGAATGAAAATGAGAACATTTTTTTAAGTTACGGAAATAACCCACTTACTTAATTAAGATTTTTCTCAAAGCTATGGCCACGAGTATCATGATTTTTAATATAAATTATCTTTTATTATTTAAAAACATCATATTAGTGATATGATAGTTAATTCATAATTAATTACTTCATTATTTGGTCGTCTTATAACAAGAACGAGTAATTTGGTAGTCAGTCATATAAAGAGACATTAAATAACGCATTAGTTTTTCATCGTGGGACTAAAATATTTTGACAGGCAATAATATTTTTCAGGTTTATTAATAAATGCCTCGTTTAGATTTAACTAATAAAGTTTGGTTAAACTGAGTCTAGAAGGTCTTAAATAATAATAAGTGTAATATTACATATCCTTTAATGCTTTAACGACACATATGTTATACATCAAATGGTTCTGTAATCTGGACCAAGCACGAGTCGCTGATTCTTCGACAGATTCCAAAGGTTTCATCAATTCGTCCTCCTGCGCGATAAGTTTAGTGTGCATCTTCAAAAATATACTCAAATATGATTGCGCCAATTCGAAGTCTCGATTGCTCCTTATTAAAATATCTAACATTATAAGGAATTTTTTCATAACTTCTATAGAACCGCCAGCGTCAGGCGCCATACTGGTTACTTCAACTTCGATCGCTGACGCCGACATGAGCTTTAATTTCTCCAGACATTCCTTATAATCCTTTTCGTGTTCACATGAATTCAACTTTTTTGCGAATGGCGTTAAAGTTGACAAAGTATCCGGCATGAGCAACTTTTTCGTGTTTCTCTCCTTTTCCTTTTCCAAATCGAATTCAAGATCAAGACTTGGGATTGTAGGGAGGAAGAATGGCGCCGATTTTGGAACCGTCAATGGTGTTTTGGGTTTATTCCTACGTTTTATTACGTCCAAATTGAGTAAATTCAGCCATCTTGATGTAGGCTGGCCGGATAATGTCAATAGTTCCTCGCTGATTTGTTCGGGTGATTTATATTCTTCATCGCCCAAATCTATTGTTCCTATATCATCTATGTCAGGTTTCTCAGCTGCAGTAGTTGGTAGTTCTGTAAATAAATTTTCAAAACTATAGAATCATACATTAGTTTTTATTTCTTAAAACTGGATAATGGTCTTAAATACAACATTAAAATTTAAATTACGTGATTGAAGTTTAATTTTATGTCATGAATAGAATAACCTACTTATTCAAATATACAGAATATCTGTATATTCAGTACATAGTTCAGTATAATGACCATTTGATTTTGAAGTAGTTTTATAACACATTTACCACAATTAATAATAATATTAATAATAGTATAAGATTTTATTTACGAAACGAACCTTCACCCAAAATAATTTCAACATAAAAAATTAAGGTATGTCGTTAACAAAAATAAATATCATATTATGGTAGTAACCGTTTTAATTTGCCACTTATAATAATAATAAATATAATGTCTTACTCAATCGCGGCACATCATTTTTATCAACTGGCTTGAGGAAGACTTTGCTATACAACAATCTGTTGGCCCAAAGACAGACTCCAAGCTCACCCACATGGGACGTTGCCAAATAATCACCAGTTGGTGACATAGTTAGAGATGTACATGGCTGTTCAACCTGGTTGTAAAATATATATAACTAAATAATAATGATAATTATTATTATATAATAAAACATATATAATTAACATGTATGCATTTTTTAACATATAGAGATTTAATTTACATTGGAACAGTTACAAGTATGATCAATGTCATATGTAAATTATGGTCAAAATATATTTATAAGAACTGAAATATTTTTTATGCAACAACAATAGAGGATTTATATTCTAAGTTCAGATAATTTTATACATGCATATGATTATTTTTCAAGAGGTATAAAAACCAAAAAATCCTTATTTTTAAATTTTACAATTTTATTCTCATCTAGAATATTCAATATTTTTTTTAGATCTCTCACCTATTTTCTTAGAATTAAGTAAGAATTTATTTATCCTTTAAAGATACTTACAGAAAAAATATCAACCAGTTGTGAAGTCGGTATATCCCAAGTACAAATTGTACAATCCATAGATGATGATACCAACCATCTAAAAAACATAATAAACATCATAAAATAAAGAAAAAGCTAAGAACAACATTACAAACAAATCGATTATTAACTTAAGCTATTTAATTAATTATTTTATTTACCTGCTTTGACAATCAAAATCAATGTCATTTATTTTACCGACATGACCCTCAAACTTTCTCACAACTCTCATTGTGTCTATATCAACCAGTGTAATAGTAAAATCTTCATTTGCTAACGCAAGCAAACCACTTTCCCTGTGGCATTTTGTCATACTCACAGATTCATCCAATCTCAACACGTGATATGGTGTGGTGGCTAGAAATTAAAAGGTGTAGAGATAAAATGATTATATTTTAATATTTTATTCTGATATTTGTAGATTAAAACTTCTTAAAGAAAATTAGCTTAATTTACTTCTTCTCATATTTGGTCTCTGTCATCGAAAGTTACATTAAAATCTGTCCAGGCAATTTACAGAGGGTTACAAAAAAATTTTAAAAATGTAATTGTTGAACGAGTGCTTCATTTATATGTACACAAATATATATATACAGAAAGTGTCTATTTTATTATAAGTAACAGACAGACAATTTTTTTTTTATTAATAGCATCACATAAAATAGAAACGACTTTTTTTAGTCTGCAAATATTGCCAATTAAATTAATTTTAAATAAACTACATAATTAAAACACTTAATACATATATTTGAGTAGCTGAGACATCATTTGTTAGACAGTGTTAGCTGTTAGTGAGAAATTATATTTATTTATTTTTAAATAACATAAAGAAGTGTTTTCACTTTTATATTTATAGTTTAATCCATTGATTGTATTAACTCACCAGTTTTAAAATGCCAGAATTTAAGTTTATCGTCAGCACCAACAGTAATGAGCCTTTGATTACAAATATCTGTTTCTACGCCTCTTATTGCCCCTTTGTGGGCCTGTTTGTTTTCTTTGCCATAATGACCTCGGTAAAGACCTGACTGCATATTAAATTTATGCACTTGTCCATTACTGTAACCTAGAAAAATTTTACAATTTTAATACTACAAAATAATTATTTTGTATAAATATAAAATGCTATAAAATACATTGTTATACTAGATATAATTCCATTGTTTTTATACATAATATTATATATATTTAAATTATACAATAAAAAAATTGTACATACCAATAATAACAAAATTACCACAGTGTGTTACCGTCAAACAGGTTGACAAAGTGCTTTTTTCCATATCTGGTGGCTTTAATTTATGTGTTCCCATACACATTCTATTATATGACCAAGTAGTAGCTAAGTACTTTCCCTCATGCAATGTTGCAATACTGTCCCATTGCTTATCCCTTTGCATACATGAGCTTATATTTGTTATTTGTGGAAGAATTTTTGTATCTATCTGATATCTTTCTGCAAAGAATTATAGATTTAAAATATTTAAAAATTAGAATATTAAGTTTTAAGTAGGATTTTAAATAATATTTACTTTTCTTTTTGGATGCTTTCCTGTTGTATGAGGCTTTACCCATGCTTTTATTGAAAGTTTCTGTTACTGTGTTCATAATGTGAAGACTGCTATCACTGCCCGCTGCAAGAATATTTCCACCAGTTGGCTCACAGTAGCGCACTATCGTCGGAGGTAGAGCATGACCTTCCCTAAAACATTTCAAAACATTTAGTCAACATTATGTATAAATTAATAGTATAAATATTTATGATTTATATATTCATAAGTAAATAGGTCTCAATTACCTTTTCTTCAACAGTCTAGCCCCTCCATCTGGCATATCAAATATCCACATTTTCAATGAATTATCCTGAGAATTGGTAACCATTAATGGTTCTGAATTTAAACATTGTAAGCCAGCTATTTTTGCAAAATGGGCTGATTGTATCTGCGACTTCACTCTTTTCTCTTCTAAATCCCACATAACCAAATGTCCCTGTGTACTTCCTGTTACCATTATTGGTACTCCGTCCATTCTAAACGACAAACAACTAACTCTGCCCCAATCATGAATAAACTCCATTACCTCTTGATCATAACGGAGATTATGAAGAATGATTTTTCCATTAGCCAAAGCTATTGCTACAACATCAATCGCTGGAGCAGCTTCTGTAACTGTCACAGGTGAGTCCCACCCTTTAAATGTATACACCAATTTTGAAGTTCTAATATTCCATATCTGTAGTTGGCCCTGTTTACTGCCGAGTAATATTTTATTAAGATAAGTGGGTGGATGACATAAGGTTGTAATTTTAAAATGTGTTTCATCAAACTTGAGATCGAGAAATTCTGATCCCTCTTTAATATCAAATATTTTAAGGACATTATCTTTGTCTATTGATATGAGATGAACTCCAAAGGGTAATAGCTGGTGTATTGGTGCCTGGTGTCCCTTGTAAACGTGCTTTAGCTCGCAGCCTCGTCTCCATGCGTATATATCGTTTTCGCTGGCTGTGTATACATGAAAACTATCACCAGTCATGCATGTGATGGGACCTGGATGTTCACCACTGACACTCAAGAGGCGAAATTTATCACAGCCATAAGTATGAAACCACTTTCCTACACTAGTACATAGCAATGTTTCACCCCGTCTTTTAATAAAACGAGCTACAAAAGGAACATGTGTACTAACATAACCTAGTACTCGGGCACCCGTAAATATTTGGCTACTTCGTCTCTCTTCGGACATGTCGAAATTTCTTAAATTCTCTAATTTACCATTTAAAACTTTTCATATTGATAATATACGAAATTATAAAATATATTTTGTTGTTTTCTCCACGCGTGTATGACATATGACAAACTTTGACATAAATTATAAACTTTTTTGACAATTATTGTCCAGAAATTGATGCGACATTAAAGTATTTTCGTTGAAATAAAAAAAAATATACAACTGTATTCCACTATAGTAGACTACAAAAGTAAAGTAAATCATTCTTTAAACAAAAATAAATTAACGGGAAAAGTTTAAAATTTTTCTGTTTCGGTAAATTTATAAGATATTAAACGTATATATTTCGTAAAATTTTTCAATTTTTCAAAATACATTGATGCTATCATAGCGACCATATGCTGTATGAATCACTGACATGAACTGGCCAGCGAGATCATCGAATATGAACCCGATAGAACATGTATGGGACTACCTAGAACGGAAACTTCGATAAAGATATTCAGTCTCTAATAATGTGGAAAAACTTAAATTTCATTAGTGGAAGAGTGGCACAATTAACCCCATGTATACGGGCTTTATTAGAGCTTGTCAGAAAAAAACCCGATATTTGAACTCTTTAAAATTTTTACAGATTTTATTTTTAAAGGAAAAACCAATAAAATATTCTGTAAAAAACTGTTTTTTTTTTTCGTTAGCTCGACTGCAATTGATTATTGTGTAATTAAGAAAAATATGTACAAAATAAATGTGTTAAGGAAAATGGAAAATCTGTTTACTTTTTGAGACAAGTGAGAGAATAGAGAGCCCTGAAGAAAAACGTTGCATATTGTTAGTTTTAAATTCGGTAATAAATTCCAAAAATAAATTCTTATTCTTTCATTATTTTTCATATTAAAACGAATATATCATGTTATATCAGTGGTATAAGAATACAGAGGATAGAAAAAAATACTATACAAATAATCTTATATAACTTTTTATTAAAATACAATTATATCTAGAAAAAATCACAGAAGTCCTTGTCTTTTCAAGTCTTCATATGTTTTTCGATTTACAACATTTCCCTGTGAATCTTCAAACTCTTCATCATTTTCGGCCACAAATCGTTCATTTTCCTTTTGGTTTTTGATTTTTTCCCACACTGTAATGAAAAAAAAATATTACTTTTTTATATATGGCTATCACCACTCATCATTGTAATATTTTGTTCAATTGATTTCATTCTATTTAATAATCCTATATTTGATATACAAGAGGACTTACAAGCAAGCGCATCTTCAATTTGAGTGACATTAGCAAAGTGAGCAGTATTCGGTATACCAAGACACCTCATGCCGTGAGCATGACGCCACTCAGCAAAGTGACGTTGGAAAGCCTTTGGACCCTTGTATGTGTAGTTACCACAAATCTCGCAGGAATAACTGATGTTTAGTCCATGCAACTTGTATAACCAGTATGGAATTGGCTGTAAACAATTTTATATAAATTAAAAACTGAAAAAAAAATAAGTTCCTTCTGTCTAATGACATAAGTGGCTTATTTAATTGTATTAAGTTTTTACATCAATTACTGACTGTTAGTCTTGCTAAAAAAATATTTATATAGGTTAAGGTTTTTTTGGTCTCAGCAAAAAAATTCATTTAAGAAAAATTAAAGCCCTACAATATTAGGTATAAATGGTTGCAACCTTTCCATCCCACCCTAGTGGCAAATTCTTGGGATTATATGGTACTTCATCATCATCAGAATCCAAGTCTGCTGCAACTGAACCCTCACTTTCTTCATCGCTCTCATCTCGACGTTCGCCAGCGGCTCTGGCTGCTCTCCGAGTCACATTCTCAATAGTAGAAGCTCTTGTGCTGCTTACTATGTTTGAGAACCTACGGACATTATTATTCATTATTATTTACATATTCTATATTATAATACACATTTATGACTTTTAAATACATCTTTTCTGCACTTTAAGGTAATAATGTTAGTAGATGAGGACAAATATATTTTTCTTAATCAAATACTGCTTCTAAGCAATCAAAAAATGTACTTCAACAAATATTTATCTGACACAGTTAATGTTATACTAGTACAAATGAATATGATGTGATGTAATGAGCAGTGGCGGATGGTGGGTAATAGAACTGGTGGTGCACTTTACTAAAATGCAACAAAACATAACGAAATGTCAAAAACGGCTCAATTCGTCATACATCGGGTGCTCTCGGTAATCTTCGGCCGCTCGTGCGGCGCTCGAGAACCGACTCATGACTCGGAACATTTCTATGAACTATCTTTTGTTTCACGCGCCAGGCGTATTAATGCGTATCTCATACAAGATGTATTGGCAGTCCTCGTGCACTCACCGAAGCGCACGATATGAGTTTAGTAAAGCGCTCAAACTTTTTGACCATAATAAGGAAATTTAATTGTTTATACGTTTTTGTATGTTTAAAAAATAAATATTAAAATGTTAATTTAAAAATAAAGATGAAGTAATATTTTGTAATTTTTAAATCTTTTGAATTGGTGGTTCAGCGCACGAGTGCACTTAAGGTACAGCCGCCACTGGTAATGAGTTAATTAAAAATAACACAGACGAAATTTGATATATATGTATAAATTACCGGTATACTTGAGCTTCTATAGCAGCTATATCTTTATGACGCTGAAGAGTAGAAGCCTTAGCCTTATTCCCACCTTTTTTAGCTACCAATGACTTGTCAAGGGCTGTTTGACCTTTTGTACTAAATAATCTAAAATCAAAATATTAAGAAATTTTAACTAATATTTACTTTCAGAAATCATAGTTAATGAGCTATTCATGTTATACCTTTGTGCTCTTTCTTCTAAAGTTCCTCCACACTTTAAACCAAGAGCCATTAGAGCAGACTTCAATCTATCTAGTCCAAGAGACGCAAGCTCTTCCCAAGATGAAAAAGCTGATAAATCTAAATGAGCTCCTACATTTGTAAGTGCTCCTCCAGTTTCTTTCTAAAAACAATTATTACCACCTATAAGCAACAATTTAATTTACTATGTATTATGAAAATAGGAAAATATTTAACTTACTGGCCAACCAGGAAATGTGCCTGCTTCCCACTGCTTTAAGAAATCTTGATGGGCTATAGCCATTTCCTGTGCTTGATCCATCAATGGTTTCACTCTATTGACAAAATCCTTTAAGTAAGTCAGTAATGCCCTTATATAATTTCTATAGTCACTGTTTTTACGCTCCCTCGGTATATCAAACAAGTGGTCGAAAATGCTCAGGTACGTTATGTAATCAATTTTCTGAAAATAACTTATATTTAGTAACAGTTTTATATTAATAAAACAATGAGATATTTCATTGACAAAGGTTGTAGGATTCTTCTCTTGGAAGAAGTATTATTGTGCATGTAAAATAAAAAATGTAACACTTAATAAATGTAAGAAATAACTTAAACAAACCTCTATTCCCTTCAAGTTAATATACTTTTCATAACACTCATGCAAATCTAAGTATTTTCCATATCCTTCCTCATCGGTAAACTCAACAGGAGCTGAAAAAGAAACAAAATTACACTTACTAGAGATAAATTGAGAATTTAGTACTTAATACATTACCTATATTGGTCATAAATACTGTTGCAATAAAAAAATTTAAAAAAAATGTATTACTTTTATAGAGGATTGTTGTATTCAAAATCATAAAATATGCATAGTATAATCTGAAAAATATACTTTCATTTAAATGAATATTCTCATTAGAATATAATATATGGTATGACTTTATATAGTAGATGGACTATATATGTACAGGTATGAATATAAAAAAAATCTGTTTACATATAAGAAAAATAAAAACTTAGTAATATTTTAACTAAGTAAATGACTGTGTTTATGATGGGGATCTTTAATGAAATTTTGCAATTAGTCTACAGATTGCCTTGGCATAAATATTGTATACTCAGATAAACAAATTCAATTTAGTTAAAATTAAGATAAGTATACAATGAAAAGTTCTTCAAAAAGACCAGAGTTCCGGAGGTAGCATTTCTTAAATGTTTGAATAAAATCTTTTCCATATTTTAATTTAGCCCTTAATTTAAGTATTACCTTAACATTGTTTTAATGTTTAAGCCATAATAGTGCGTGTTTTAGTTACTTTACTTACTTGTGTAATCCTCTGAAGGGTTTTCCCTAATCTTAGCTAATTCTTCAAATTCCACTGACATGGGGACACAAATCTATAAATAAATGAAAGTTATGCAATATTTAATACACATTTTTTATTCACAATACACTTGAAAATTAAGCATTCTTTAAAACAAGTGATTAGACTTAAAAGTAACTTATTTTTATGTCTATATATGATAATTAATATAATAGCTTGTTATAAAATGCATTCTTTGAACAAAAATTCAACCCACTTTTAAGAACACTCATTTCTTTACATTTTTTATTATAATACAATATTTATTTTACTAACCTCATTAGGATGTTTTCTGTGAAATTCTTTAATTTGTTTAAGTCTAGCATAAAATTCTTGGAACTCATTTGGTCCTGACAATGCCGCTATTTCTTCTTTACGGATTCCATCTTTGTCCTCATATAACTCTTTCAATCTTATAGAAGATTCTATATATCGCTATAAAATGAAGGTAAAAATATAACCATTTATCAAATACTATTACTTTATGAAGGTTAAGCAAACTTACATCGTGTAAATTTTTCAATCGGTGATCAGCGTTGATTGTTTCGCGATGCTGAAATAGGTTATTTATAAAAAAACAAATTAAGATACTCAGAACAGTCATATGGTTTAGAATTATTGATGTTAAAAAATATTTATTCTAATACTTACGCCCGTCTTTTTATTCAGAATCTCCTTCACCATAGCATCCATAGTACGTTCTCGTTCTTCATGATAACTCCGCTGTTGCTCCAGTATTGTTTCCATTTCATAAAATTATCTTATTTATTTGATCTTAAAGTTTTATAATATCTACATAAACAGTTAAGTGCCTTTCCAAAATATTTAATTTGTATTATAATAAACAGCGTCTTCCGACCGTGTATTCGTTTGACAGTTCAACCATAAAGCAAGTGGGACATAAATAGACTACATATTGTAGTACAACCATAAAGTATATATTGTAACCGTTAATTATAATAAATTATATTGTTTTTAAATTTCACATTTATATATAGTTGCTATGAAAATTCAAACAAGCTGAGAAATTCTTATTAACCATTTAAAAATTTATATTAAGTTGAAACTTCCATAGACAGAACCTTTATATAAAAAATTTTGTTGACGTATCTGAAAAAAGTTGTACTTACGTACCAAACTAGGGATAATATGGAAATTTATCGTGATTCTGTATAAATAAAAATAAAGCATAAACCTCCCGCAGTACTCATTTACTTCCCGCAAAACTTGTTACTTACTGTTTCATGAAAATAATCTAAGGGTCATGTAATGTTACTAATTTCCATTAATTCAAGTCTTTTAAAATGTGTATACATTGTACATGTGTAGGTATACCGTATACACTAGTATTTGTTAGCGACTTCTTTAAGCATACAGATTTTAATAAATTTTTGGAGACATATCAAGAACTCATGATAATAAGTTAAGTTGATAAGATGATCCCATTGCGCTGATTAGGATTACTATGATTCACAATTTTCTCTATGATGTTTTGTGTAAGGTATCATTTTACGTAACAATATTTCTACGTGCTTCGACCAAATACGAGGGTTATTTATTTATATATACTCTCGAACCGATTACTTTTTAAAGCGAAAAAAACTATAACTTTAAAAAAATAGTGGGACTGCTGCTTTTTTATTTTAAAGCCATATCGGTATTTCATATTATGCACTAAAGACTGAACAGATAAGTGTATAACAGTAACATAAAGGAAGTACTTAATATATGAAATGAGTTGTTTAAGGCACATAGAATCACTGAAATTCGAATTCCGATTGCCACCATATATGGTCTTAATGTTATTAAATTAATATGGAGTTTTATGAACAGACAAATGGCAGCAAAGAAATCTTACGTCGAAGAATTATTGCCAATTAAAAATGAAAAGTTTCTTAATATTACAGCAAAAACTAAAAAAAAGAATATGATTATACCGATTCGTGACGAAACATATACGTATTGGGAACAAAACCGTTTGATAAAAGATATGTAGGTACCTATAGGTATTCGGCATAACACATTTAGAGTCAGAGTCAGATTTAAATACACAAAGGATTTTTTAAATTTTTCACTAGATAAATACTATTTAAAAAAAAACTTCATATTTATAAATATAAATAAAATTGAATTGTCTATTTGTAATATAAAAATAACTGTTTATTACTATGTAGTATGCATGTGCAAAGGTATATACGGTACATACACCAAAAAATATTTTTTATAATTCTTGTATGTCTGTTTGTTCCCGCCGAATCTCTGAAATGGCATGACTTTTATTGGCAGGTAGTTAATGAAATAAGGAGTGGGAAGCCTGGAGCATGCCGTGCTTACAAGATTTTTCAGTTTCTTTAATTGAGGGTAACAGATAGTTATAAATAAAATTTGTGTCCTTTATTCTAAATAATAATAATTATTCTTAATTAATCAACAAAATTATTATATTTCTATTTTTTCCTATTAAACATCGAGATGTTTACAGTTGAACTATAATAACGATAGGTACTTGTCAATTAAACAGAAAAAAATAATAAGCACAACTGCGACATCAAATTTTATGACATAGGTATGTACTTACTTAATACTTATATGTAGGTATCTATTAATGCTTTTTTTCATGTCGTCAGGTAATTAAGCAACGTAGTTTCCTTTGTATTATAATCAATTAAATCCAGTAGCTCCGAGTTGATAACTAAGAAAAGGGTATTTATTACATGGTAAGAGTTGAAAATAAAAGCCTTCCTCTTTTAATTATTATGAAATTATTATCTATCTTATATTAATTGATTTATATTGATTTACTCCAAAAGGTTTTCTTTATTTTAATGAGATAATAAACATCCTGATTCCAATTATCCCTACTAATATTATAAATGCGAAAATAACTCTGTCTGTCTGTCTGTTACGCTTTCACGCCTAAACCACTGAACTGATTTTAATGAAATTTGATATAGAGATAGAGTTCACCATGAGAAAGAAACATAGGATAGTTTTTATCCCAGACTTTTGAAAGGTTCTCTTGGAAACGCGATATAACCGAACTCCACGCGGGCGAAGCTGCGGGCGGAAAGCTAGTGTTTAATAAGTATTAAGGTATTGGGTAAGTAGGTACCTACCCACCTATAAAATATTATTATAAACTCTATTAATATTGAGACATAAATGAAAACATACTTATTCTTTTTAACATATATTTTTTAATTTCATTACATTTATTAAATATATTGAAATATAATTTCATTATAATTTCGAAAAAATATGTTCCTTTCGCCAGGAAATCTTACAAAAGCTATTTTTTACTTTATAGTAACAGATAACAAAAAATCCAATACTAAATTAAGTCGACATTATGTATGTACAACAGTCACTATATTATGTACTTGCGTTAGGGAAGATCATCACTGTACAAAAAAGGGTCTATTTGGAAGTTTTTCTTATCTTATCTGACTCAAAACATCTCAAAAGTTATCCTACGCTATAGCTTAATTTTCGTCAGTTCTACTGTTTAGTACGGTTTAAAGTGAATCATAAATGAAGTCGGTTAAAAGCTGGTCGAAATAGTCCTGTTACTTAAAATCAATTTGAGTTCTCTTATTTCTTTAAAAAAAACTGCATGAAGATCTATTTGGAATCGGACTAATAATTTAAAACTATTTGCGATTTTTTTCCCTCCAACAGCCAAAACCTCGGCTATATTCAAATCTCACCACTTTTCCTTGACGAGTCCACATAGGATGTTCAAAACTAGTGTAGCTATTAATACCGTTCCGTGATGGATTTCTGTTGTAGTACGGTCATAATTATATTATTAATTGAATCAAAATATTAAGAGTACCTATCCTTTTTCCTTGAAGTGGTCGTTTATCTCGCATTCCAAGGTTTTACCAAGACAAGATTCTCATAAGTCATAACTAACCTTTTTTTAATTATATTTGAAGGCAGATTTCTTGTTATATTACACGTCTTTTTCAGATTCATTTGCGTATAAATCGAGTAGTTAATGAAATCGTAACTCTTATTTTAATACAACCTACAATTTGTCTTTATTCTTAAAGGATCAACTATGAGTGCAGTTAAATTGACCTTTCCCCACTCCATGCACCCATTTCGCGATTTTTCCGATTCACTCTCCTATTAGAAATTTTGAACAAATATAATTAATTTATATAGTCACCAGGTCTTATTCTTTAAGAGTGTTCTAATATTTAAAATACTAAAATTAAATGTTTTAAGTTCATAAAATGCAACTAATTTAAAAAAGATTTTTATTGCAGTTATAAATATCAACCTATCTGATCTGATTTTTAATAATAAGAAATTGTTAAACATTTAAAGTGCACAGTAAATAATGACAATAGATCAAAACAATATTTATTTATTTCTTAAGTGTTTTGTTCATATTATGATTTCAGTTTGAAAACTTACAGCCTTTACTTATAGGAATGTGTATAACAAGATGTTAGCCAGGTCAGTCTTCATCAAAACATTTTCTTATTATTCAATAAATATTATTATTATTACTTAACCGAAACATGTTGATAAATGCTAATGATGGTGAACATTTTATATAATGAAATTTACACACATTTGTCACACCAAAAAACATCAATTTCAAGGAGAAACCCTCTCATATATACTAGTTTTTAATAATCAGGACCTGACCATAAAACATTTTTGCTTATTGTGACATTAGTGTACTGAAAGTAATTAAATCTAATTAGTTTACATCACAATATCTAATAATCTATCACTCTCACAGTTCATCGTGTGATGACTGCTGTTGAGTGTAATTTGAATCGTCACATGCTGCTGGAGTGATTAAATTCATTTTATATTCACAACGGAATGGTTCCGTCACTGATGTAATTTTAGTTTCCAAGCCGCAGCTCACATTGACTATTGTTAATCTATTAGGACCATTCCAGCACGCGATTCCGTTGGTGTATTTCATAACAGAGTATTTATTACCATCTTCTCCAACCCATTCACCCCAATCCCCGAGTCCTATTTCCATGCCGCCGTTCTTTGATTTTTGTGTAACTTTCTGGAATAGACACAGCTTGTAAACATATTCTTTGTCTTCATATTCAATACACTCACCATCGAGGGTGGCAAATTCTTGTTGTAATCCATAATCCTTTTCTAGATTCTGCTGGAATAATCTTATATTTGATTCAATTTCTCTAACAGCCCGTTCAGCTTCGGCTAATTGACGTCTAGCTTCTGTAGCTTCATCAATTAGTTTTTGAGTATCATCATCATATTTCTTTGTATCGTCAGTTTGTTCTTCATGGTGTTCATCATCTTCGGGAATGTCGTCATGGCCTTCATCTTCTCCTAGATCTTCCATATCTGTTATCTTAGGATCTTCTTCATCATCATGTTCAGATTCCTCAGCTTCTTCTTCATTTTCAGCTGGACGGAACATACCTTGTTCTAACATGAGCAATGGCTTTAGCAATGGGTATGTTATGTCAATGAATTCCTCTTTGTCAATGCTATCTTTTTCACCTATGAAATATTTAAGTTCCTCTGCATCGACTTCCCCATCCTTGTTCTTATCAAACACATTGACCACTTTAATTTCATCAGCTGATAACACACCATCATTATTAGAATCAAATCGGATGAACTGTTCATTTGCTTCTTTTTCTTGTTGTTGTTTTTCTAACTCTGCTTTTTGTTGCCTTTCTTTTTCTTCTGCATCTCTGTAAACTTGTAAGGCTTCATTTTCTTTAGCTTCAAGATCATTTTTAAGACTTTCCTTCTCTTCTTTCATTTTTTGAGCTTCAAATTTATCTTTCTCTAATTGGGAAAGTTGCTCTGCCATATCATTACGTTTTTTGTTGCCCTTTTCAATGAGTTCTAATCGGATAGAGTTACCAGCTTTGTGAAGTTCTGCCAACTGTTGTGCTTTTACTCTTGCTTCTTTGCCTAACTCTTCACAAATGTCTGGACATGCCTCTTGGTTTGCATATTCATCAGTGCCGTCACAGCAATCACATACACCGTCATTGACTCGGGAGCTTGGAATGTTCTGCGGTCGATGGCCTGCATTAGTGCAATGAAAAACTCCATTTAAGCACGCTGAAGTTCCAGGTTCATCGCTACCGTCGAAGCAGTCGCAATAATCGTCATTTACATAACTGAAGGGAATAGTGCTGGTTCCATCGAAACACGTAAAATCTTTAGTCGGCGAATAAAGAGAAGCTTTTGATAAAGAAACTCCGCGCGGCCTAGGTACATCTGATTGAGCCGATATTACTAATAATAATATAATAAATATAGATGATCCTAATTGCTTGTCCCAAGCAGAATAAAACATGATTAGTTTTAGCAACGCCGGTAGTAAGAACTTGCGAAATACAACTTGATAAATAGAACGTGTATAAAAATGACAGCCAACCGCTGACGAGCTGACCAATGACCGAATGACATTCATAAACGAATGACGTATAAAAATCTATTTATTTCTTGCATTCTTGGTATTTTGCTTTAAGAAGAAACTCAAAACCAATTCTTTTAAAATACTCTATATTATTTAATACATAAAAATTATATATATTACTGAATTTGGATTGTATTTAGAGTCATGTATCATAGGTAACTAAATATATTTCAATTCTTTATGCCTCGATCTCAAACTAACTGTAAGAACTTTAAGATTAAAAAGTTCATCTTTCATAATATGTCAAGTATTTGTTTATAGGTTAACTGTTATCGTCCACTTTGTGTTCCAAATCGTTGAAACAATAATTTAATTACTATTAAAATTTACATAACAAAACAATTAATTACAGCATAAGGTCAATAGAGATTATCTAACCTATTATTTCTATAAATATTCGAATTATAGGAAAAGGGAAATACCAAAGAAATCATTTATAAGTAAATAATTATAGGGTGTTATCCATCCTTAATAGGATATTTATAATGTGTGCGGAACACATAATCTCTCAATCACGTTTTTCCATGCTAGAGGGTAAAATAGACTCTCGAATATTAAGAAATTTAAAAGATATGGGTTTTGAGAAACCAACACAGATACAAGCAATAACTTTACCTCATATGCTGCTTGATGAGGATTTAATAGGAGCAGCAAAGACTGGTAGTGGAAAAACTTTAGCCTTTCTAGTCCCAGTTGTTGATAAATTAATTCAAATGAAATTTACAAAAGAAAAAGGTATATTTTCATATATAGTCAAGAATTCAAATATTTAGTACTATGACTATATATTTGCTTATTTAATTACAGGTGTTGGGTGTATAATTATTTCTCCAACAAGAGAGTTGGCTCTACAAACTAATGAGGTCTTAAAAATGGTACTGAGAGATATAAATTTGTCATATGGTTTGTTTGTTGGAGGTGAAAAAAAGTTGAAAGAAACTTTATTATTGCAAAAAGGTTTGTTATGTAATTTTTATTTCATTTTACTACAGTATATTTACAGATAATTGTTTTGAGAAAACTTGCAGATTTATTCTATAATACTTAAATGAAGTTAAATAAAATACCTTGAACATACACAAAATTAAATAAATTTTACTAAAAATTGCATGTACATTTGTTATAGGTGTAAATATTGTAGTTGGTACACCTGGAAGAATCTTAGATCATCTAAAAAGTACTGAAAAGTTTAAATGTCATAATTTGAAAATCCTTATCTTGGATGAAGCTGATAAATTACTTGAAGCCGGTTTCCAAAACCATATTGAAGGAATCATAAAAAAACTACCAAGTATGTTTGACTTAAATTAATAAATTCTGTATTTTGTTTAAGATGAAAACTAAATGTCATATGTATGTTGTAGAAAACAGACAAACAGTTTTATTTAGTGCAACCATAGATGACAAGGTAGAAAATCTAGCTCGGTTAGCATTAAGAAGTGATCCAAAACTCATATGTATACAGGACGACAAACAATCAACAGTTAAAAATCTTCAACAAGGGTATATATAATGTTATTATAAAAAAAAATTATTGGTTTTACTCCAACAAATGTACTTGAATTTTTTAAAACAGTATTTTACTTCAATAGAAAAGAAATTGCTTTTATTCCTAATACAAAACTTGTGATACAGTTATTATCAATTTTGTTTTTAAATGTAATAACAAAATATTTTTACCGTTATAATAATTTCCATTACCTCAATGTTTTTCAGATATTGCATTTGTCCCGTTCAAAATAGAATATCTTGGTTGTATAAGATGTTGAAGAAAACTAGAAAATTAAAAGTTATAGTATTTTTTTCCTCTTGCAAGTCGGTAGATTTTCATTACGAGTTCTTTAGAAATCATTGTAAAGCTTCAGTTTTTAGTTTACATGTGAGTATTTAAAACAATATTTTTATTGGTAACAATTATAAAAAAACAATTTATGTGTATGTTATAACCCATATCAATCAATTATGCTTAATCTTAGTAATTAAGATATTTTTTATTAATGTATTTATTATTTTGTTGAAATGTTTTCTATTGAAGGGTAAACAAAGTCAACCCAGAAGGAAAGAAACTTTTGAATCATTTGTCAATACTGATAAGGGTGCATTATTTTGCACTAATGTGGCGGCTAGAGGTTTAGATATACCATCTGTGGATTGGATTGTGCAATATGATCCTCCTACCGATATAAAGGTATACTTTTAATGTAATATACAAATTGATTATCCACCTAGATTTTCATCACATATATCATGTTGTGGCTAATGGAGTTAGACTAGTGATCTTTATAGAAGACAATTCTTTATATTGTACATATAATGGAACCACTATTGTAGTTTCGGCAATGAAGTGATATTAATAAAATGGAAAACATTTAATCACTCACTCTTAATACTCATTAAATTTATTTTGTAGTTGGTTGTTTTTTGTTTTGACAAGAGATATTTTAAATGCATCATCAATATAATTAATCAATAAATATCTCTCTATATTTCTTTTTTTAAGATATTACGTTTCTTTTTTTTAGGAATATATCCATCGTGTCGGACGTACAGCTAGAGGTCTAAATAGTGGTAACGCTGTTATATTACTAAGACCAGAAGAAGAAGAATTTGTTGAATGTCTAAAAAGGGAAAAAGTGTACTTGGACAAATATAACTTTGGTGATCCCTCTAATGACGTGCAAGTCATGGTCAGTTAGCATATAAGTTTAGTTCTGTTTCTATTTTAGAAATTAGCTAATAATTTAATACTGGCAGCATTCACATATTAATGCGGTCAGTACAGGTCAGGCTATAATAGTGAATTATCTAGTTGAAATTTTTGGGACCATTCAAAATCCAATTATCATATAACTATAGATATATTTAACAATTCAGTGTGATTTAAAACTTGTTTTGTTATTGCAGCTGGAAAAAATAATACAATCAGACGGTACCATGAAAATACTTGCCCGTAAAGCATATTTGTCCTTCCTTAGATGTTACAGTAAACATCCATTGAACGAAGTGTTCGATATAAAAACCTTAGATCTGAAATTATCATCACAAGCTTTTGGTTTCCAGGAACAACCACATGTTGACTTCTGTATCCTTTTCATATGTAAAAATTTATAAAGAAATATTATTTGGAAAACATTTTAGTCAAGTGACAGTCTTTACTTCAGAATAACTAACTTTACGTAAAAATGTATAATTATTTTACAACTACATATTTATAATCTTACGCATCTTCAATTCGTCATTATAAATTGGTAGAAATTTCTTTATTTTCTAGACTATTTTTATGTGTCCTAGATAATTTATTATCCACATTTATGAATTCCAGATATCGACTTTTTGCAATAAATAATTTCCTTATATATAATTCAGTAACATCAAGGAAACGAAAATTAAAAAATAATTAGTTGAACCGACAACTATATGGATCAAATATACAAATAAAATAAATGATTTAAAACAATTTATGTGTTTTATTGAAAATTAAAATGTTACATTGCATTGACATTTTAAATTACATTTTAGACAACATACATAACATTTTCAACTTCTTGATTTTTGATTGTTGCCTTTTTGTCTGTATATTTTTGTTTTTTCAGCTTTTTTATGTTGTGGGGCGTTCAATGTTTTGAAATATCCGAACCCGCCGCCACCTTTCCTCTTTTGTGTCGGACCTTTGCTCGTAACTTTTAATTCGACTGCTGGTGGAACGGTGAAACCAAAAGATTTAGACACTTTAGCTAAATCAATTGTATCGATGTCGAATATAGTTTTTAGGTGATGAGAATCATATGCTCGTAAATAGCTCTTAAACGCCTCCTTGGCAGACTGGTTCAGGAAGTAGTTTCTTGATATCAATTTTTCTAACTGGAAAGTATAATAATAATTAACATTAAAACACAAAAATGGTTATTTTTGTAAAATATTATTCACTTATACATAATTAATAAAACTTTTTATATACAGTAATACCCCGCTTAACGCGATCCCGTTGTGCGCGGTCTCACTATAACGGGATTTTCAAAAATTTATTCAGGTTGGGACATTGCAGAGTATAGACAATAATGATGACCGTGTCTTGAACGTGTGTCAAAGGATTAAAAACAGTGTTTGGTGTTATGAACCTATTCGGTATTTTACAAGAACGTAAACAAAACGCTACCCAAAAGACAATACATGTATTTTTTGGTAAAAAAATAGGAGTACCTATACATATATTGTATAGTGTTCTTAGAATTAAAGTGATTGATTAAAATGATTTTTATATTTGTGTATTAAATTTTGACTGTGTTTAATCATAAACCTCGATATACGCGAATTTCAGTTAACGCGATTTTCTTCGGAACGTATCCCTCGCGTAAAGCGGGGTATTACTGTAATATATATAAAATAAATATACATACTTGTAATTGTATATCTGCTACTTTGTTCCATGAGAACTCAAATTCATTTAGTGTCACCTTGGACTGTTTCAAATATCTCAGGAATCCTAATTCTTCAGGTCTCAAGAACAATAATGCATGTCCGCTTGTACCAAGTCCTCTTGCAGTTCTTCCTACTCTGTGGATATATTCCTAAAAAAAATTTTTTCCATTAATACAAACACATACAAATAACCAAAAAATACATTAAGAATAAAAATTTATATGAAACAAGTTTAAATTAAACTTTTTTTAAATTATAATCTGGTTATTATTAATTACTGTTTAAAAACAATGCTAGTTATTATAATTTTGTTTACTTAACATACAAGTCAAAGATATTTATAAAAAATATTTGTAAATACAATTAAATATCATAACAAGAACTGTAGGCTTAAACCGTTAATATGGATGTTTATATATCCATATACAAGATTCTTAAATAACTAGGTTTCAGTGCAAAAAATATATAAGTTAATAAAATGTGTGTAGAATGTATTAAATATTGTTGTATACTTTTGGATCATCCGGAGGATCATATTGAACAATCCAGTCAACAGCGGGTATATCCAAACCTCGAGCAGCCACATCAGTACATAATAATATGCCGCTCTCAGCATTGCAAAACTGGAAAAATGTTGTTGTGCGTTTTGCTTGTTGCTGTTTGCCCTGAAAATTAGTTGTTTCTTGAATTAATTGTTTATTTATGTACTAAAAGTAGATATATATAGTATATATATAGTGATGCGCAAAGCATAAATTATCTCCTAAAAGAGATCTCTACCAGTAACCAGAAAATTAATTATGACTAGAAATATAAAAATTTGTCTTTAATGAAATTAAAAAAAGTGCAATACATATAGTTATTGTAATTTCTTTGGTTAACTTTTAGAGTAGATCTCTAGACTTTAAACTTTTTTATGATATAAAATAGTGTCGACTAGTTAATAAAAAATATTTAAAAACAATGAAAATACTTACATGTATGGACATAACTGGTAAGTCAATATAGTTAAAGAGCTCATGGTGGTATTTGACGGACATACAGGTTGACAAGAAAACCATAACCTTCTTTTTTCTATTCTTCTTCAGGAATGTGAATAGTACCATCATTCTTTTTTCTGATGGACAAACTATGTAACTAAAAAAAAATATTTTCTGTGTTAATAAATGCATTTTGAAAGACTAAAAGTAGCATATAATTTCATTTCTCTATTGCTATGTTAATAATATATATCTTTATATTCTATGCTGTAAACATAGGCATAGACAACAAAATATTACCCTTGTTCTAAAGAATCTACTGTAGCCTGTTCTCTATGGTCATCTACTCCAACATACACAGGTTCATGCTTAACAGCCAAAGCTGTTAAAGCTTCTGTTTTTTTTGTCTGTGTAGCACTGAAAAGCATTGTTTGACGCCATTCTGTAAAAATAATATTATTCTTATCACATTCATTTGATTTCATTAGGAGTTTTCATATATATTATTAATAAATAACTGACTATAACATAAGACATACAATTTTCCACCCCTTTTCCATGTATTTTTATAGACTGAATAAAATTCATCTTTATATCAATAAAATAACCAAAGAAAAAACAATGGTAAGCAAACTTACTTGGCAATAATCTTATTATTTGTTTAACTTCCTCTTCAAAACCAATTTCAAGTATTCTGTCTGCTTCATCAATGACAAGGCACTGTAAATTTTTGTATAAAAAGTCTGGTGTGTTTTGTAAGTGATCCAAAAGTCTGCCAGGTGTTGCTACCAGAATATTAATACCTTAAAAACATAATAAGATTGTATTACACATAATTTCCTTCTATTATTATTTTTGGTTATAAGATAATTTTATAAGAAATATGTATTTGCTCTTATATTACCTTTGGAAAGCTTCTGTGCCTCTGTACTTCTATTAGCGCCACCCATAACTAATCCGTAAGTATGATGATGATATTTCATTAACTCCATTAGAACACCAAAAGTTTGCATTGACAATTCTCTTGTTGGAGATAATATAATGACACCAGTACCTGACAAAAAACAAGCTTAATTTTCTATCATATTTTAAGAGAAATTTAAATAAAAATGTATGAAAATCAATCAGATATCCATTCTTTATTCATGAAATAACTCTAGGCATTCCATACACAAAACTAGTATAACAAAAACACAAGTACCTCAACAATTATTTGGAGGTAGACTGTGTTTTTGTTATATTAGAATGTGAGTGGGTGCCCAATTTTCATATTCGCCTTTTTTTGTCATCATAATTAGATTACTACATTTTTACTTATTATCACCTTTAATTTAATGGAAGTGATTGCAAAGCTTAATAAAAAAAATCATACCATTCCTAGGTTTAAATTTCAATTTATATATCAAATCGATAGCCGGTATAAGAAAGGCTAAGGTTTTTCCTGAGCCGGTTCTAGCTGCTCCGACGAGATCTCTCCCTTCTAATAATGGTGGAATAGCCTTAGCTTGTATCTCAGTCATAGTTGTGAAACCCATATCCTTGATGCCCATGAGTGTAGCTTCACATACTTTTCCCTCAAGTGCTGTGAACTTCTGGTCAGACAATATTCCAAGACATAAACTCGAGCCTGGCACTGTTTTAAAAACAAAATTTATTTCATATTAAAATTACTAAATTACTAACAAATGTAGAATAGAAATATATCAAACATAACATTAAAAGAATAAAAATTACAGATATCTTTGAATGACCTAACCCAAAATTAGGATAGAAACAGAAGTTCTTACAAAAACATAAAACTATTTTTTTTAATTCTATTGATATATTTTAAATTAATCTAATCTAGAATAATGGTGCAGAATAATTTCTGCTTTCATAATATTGTTAGCTTACATTGACTTTCCTCATTTGTCTTGATTTCATCATTTTCTACATTTTCTTGGCCACCTTCATTTGTATCACTATCTGTTGCTGGCTCATCTTTTATTTCTTCTGGCTCAATTTTTTCTTCAACACCAGACTTCTTTTTCTTTTCTGTTAGAAAAATGTACTTTAATACAGAGTAATTTACATAAAATATTAAGAATACATATTTATTTATACTAACTTTTTGAGGTGACGCCATTGCTTTGTTCCTTGTTATCAGAGGGCCGCTTTAATTCTTTCTCAGTACCATCTGCAACTTCAGCTTTTTCTAGATAAAAGATTTAGCTTTAATAACACGTAAACAAGAAACAGGACACTGCAGAAGTTGAAATAGATATTACAATTCGTATATAGTTAACCACGCAGGTTTTGTTTATCAAAAAAGTAGTAAGCATGTTATTTTATTTATATTATAGAGGTTACCTGTAGTGTCCGGATCAGCATTGGCTTTTTTGGAAATTAGTTTCAATTTTTTCTTTTCCCGTTTTTTAATTTTTCTCATCAATATTTTGTCCGGCGTCGGCATCTTAGAATGTGTTAACTTACTAAGTTATTCAATATACGTTTTCAAGAAAATATTTTAATTTAATGCTCTAAGTTGTAACTTGTAAGCATGTTAAAAATCAGCGTGGTAGCAATGTCAAATGTCAGAATTCAGAATGTGACAATTGACATCCGATACAATTACCACTGTTACATGTTTCTTTACCGTCCAGAATTGTGTTAACTATGGAACTGGAAGTCGCGTGTTAAAGTACAATTATAATAAAGAAAATAATTTATGAGGTCTCAGAGTTTCGCGAGTATTCATTTGTAAAAAACTAATATTTTTGGACCACTACGCGTTATTTTATCATTTCAAGACTACGTACTCCCGACATTTCGGTTATTTTACAGTAACCGTGATCACGGTACTCGGTAGTATGTCGTTTTAAATTTATAAAATTATCACATTTTTCCAGTTTTTGGAATTTTTTGTAACCAAAACAATAAATTTGATTAATGATCTGAAATAGATGCTATTGGATTAAGAAATATTTAGGACGTTTCTGATTATAATTAAATGAAAAAAAATATTTCAAAGGAATCAGATTTATAAAAATTAAATTTACCATATCATCTTTTAATTTCAGGAATTCATTTCTCTCAACTTGCTGATTGTATTGCTCGAGAGTAAGATTATAAAATGTTACCAAAATTATATATTTAGTTTTTTTATTGCAACTATAATAATTAGAAAAGTTTAATAATTATAAAAATATATATTACTGCAAATTTGATTAATTTATAAACCATATGTCATTCGCATGTGGTATATCTAAATGTCAAAATTATGTCTTGACTCTTGAAGTCTTGAAAAATAAACTATAAATTATAAAAACGGATAAATAATCAGGAAGTATTGAACATTTTAAATATAAATTACCGGAGCGTACTTGTTGTTTCGAAATATGGATAATTCTAAGGAAAATCCAAAATTTAAAATGTTTAAAAATAAAATATCCAAGGAAACGTTAAGGGCTATTAAAAGTATGGGATTTAAAGCAATGACTGATATACAGGCTGAAGTTTTACCAAAGGCTTTAGACGGGAATGATGTAGTAGCAACTGCTAAAACTGGTTCTGGAAAAACTTTGGCATTCTTAATACCAGTAGTGGAGTTAGTTTCTAGTCTTATAAAAGAACACCAGAAAGGTAAATAAAATGTGACACAGTCATAACAAAGAAGACAATTTTCTCAATTATTTTACTATTCAAAGTTAGTAATAAATTTTATCATTATTTGCTTAAATTTTAAAAATATATGTTTATTTATTTTATATATTCTAGGAACTCTGGCTATAATAGTATCTCCAACAAGGGAGCTTGCGATACAGACTTTCACAGTGCTACAAGAAATAATAACACATCATGAGTTGATGACTTCTTTATTAGTTATTGGCGGAGAGAACAGAAAACAACAAAGCTGTGAATTATCAAAAGGTATTATTAATTTCAAACAAAAATTAAACTTTATAATATATAATTCTGCAGATACTTTATATAGAACTGTGTAATGTGTTCTGAATCAAAGATTTATTTTATTAGATAACTAGCTTTCTACCCGCAGCTTCTTCCGCTTGGAGTTCTTATATCGCGTTTTCAAGAGAACCTTTCAAAAATCTGGGATAAAAACTATTCTATGTTCTTTCTCAAGGTCAACTCCATTTCTGTACCAAATTTCATTAAAATCAGTTCAGTGGTTTAGGCATGAAAGTGTAACAGTCAGACAGAGTTACTTTCCCATTTATAATATTAGTAGGCATTAGTGGAAGTATAACTAAAACAGATTTTCAAATTTTTTTAGGTATCCATATAGTAGTTGCAACCCCTGGAAGATTATATGATCATATGAGAACAAAAGAGTTTGATTATAGCAGTGTTAAGTGTCTGGTATTAGATGAGGCTGATAAAATATTTCAATTTGGTTTTGAAGAAGATATAAAGCAGATAGTTAATAGACTTCCCAGTAAGTTTCTACACAAACATATAAGCAGAACTTATACATAAGTTTATATTTGTGTTTGGTTGTAAATTGTTAATTAACAAGATTGCTATAATAATTACAACAGATATATTAGTTAAAGAGTTTCATTAAGTAATAGTAAACTTATATATCAAATTAATCATAAATCTGTACACTAATTCATAATCATATTTTAAATTTTAATTATTTTTATTTAGAAAATAGACAGACAATGTTGTTTAGTGCAACACAATCAGCGGCAACAGACAATTTAATAAAAACAGCTATGAGTGATGATGTACACTTAATTAACACCAATGAAGATGATGATAGGGCTACTGTTGAAGGACTTAAGCAAGGGTATATATAGATATATATGAGGAATATGTTTAATTTAAATTAATACAATTTTATTTACAACTGAACTATATGAATGCTTTAAATTATATATTAAGAACCTATGTCATTTGTGTTATGGAATACATTATACAAGAACCTAAGAAACATTTTTGTATTAAGTCATAAATATTTTTTTGTTTATTTCAGCTATGTCATCTGTGAAACGGAATATCGTCTACATTGGCTACACAAGCTTTTAAAGAAGACACAAAATTCAAAAGTAATGGTCTTCTTTTCAAGTTGTAAATCTGTTATATTTCATTATGAATTTTTTCATAAATACTGTGATATGTCGGTGATGTGTATACATGTAAGTTCATATTCATTTTGTTTTTATTTATTTTACTATATATTATAAAGATATAAATAAGAATTTATTGTAATTTATTATCATTGATTTCGTTTCAGGGAAAAATGAACCAGTCAGACAGAACTGACACTATAAACAAATTTTATAATGCACAAAAAATGGCCTTGTTTTGCACAGACTTAGCTGCAAGAGGATTGGACATACCAGAAGTAAATTGGATCATTCAGTTTGATCCTCCTTCTGATACTAATGTAATTATTATTATTGAGTTTTTTATTTTATAGATACATTAATTACAACTTCATACATTTAAAATTTTCAGTTTATGTCCATAATTAAGTTGCCATTCACTTACTTAATTTGGATGTGACAAAATTGTAAGAGCTTATAGTTTGGACAGTTCTAAAACATAATTTATAATAATTTTTTGTGTTAAAAAAATTTAAAACCGTGTTGTTGATGGCATAAAAATTAAAATTATTCTTATATAATATAATATCTGGTTACCAAGCTTTGCTCGGTATTTAGTAATTATTAGTATTTATTTTGTGTCTTTTTTTATTTTGTTTAGGCATTTTTAGGTGAACACGTAAAGAAGACATAAAACAGAATAAATTGACTTCTTGTTACTTATCAACGCCATCTGCTGTTGTGTCGTTAAAGCAATTAGCAAAAAATAGTATTATTATTTTCCAATAGATGTCAGGAAGAGTCATATTTTAAGCGCCTCCTTTTTTTATAAAATGCCATTTTCTAAAAATGATTCCTAACTAGATCGACTCATCGCCCCTAAAACCCCATACCAAATTTCTTGGAAATCGTTGGAACCGATTCCGAGATTCCAAACAAAAATACAAGAATTGCTCATTTAAATATATAAGATATGTAGTTTCACTTTTAAAAAATACAAGACACTACAATAATCCAATCTTTTTACTGTTAAATCTAAAATAAAGCATTATAATGGAAGCATTAAAAAATCCGAATTATTTTACATAAACAGCAACAAGATAAATCGTTTTATTATTTTTACAATTTCAGGAGTATATTCATAGAGTTGGTAGAACGGCGAGAGGTTTGGGTGCTGAGGGACAAGCAGTTTTGTTATTGAGACCAGAAGAAAGGGAATTTGTTAATTATTTGAGAGATGCTAAAATTTATTTAGATAAATATGAATTATGGAATAAGTACAGCGATCTTCAGTCTAAGGTATTTGATATTAATTAATTTCAATATTATAAGATCAATTTTCAATAAAAAGCCGTATTCGAATATCGGGTTTTCCCTAAAACTCCTAAAATGACTAAGAATACTCCAAAAACGTCTATTTTCTTAATTTTAATATTACAATATATTTTTAGATTGACATAGCTATGAAAGACCCGGAGTTCCATAATCTTGCAATCGAAGCTTTTGAAGGATATACAAGGGCTTTTGAAGTGAAGAAATTAAAACATGTATTTAATTTACTTAACATGGATTTAAATAGTGTAGCGAAATCATTTGGTTTAAAAGAGAAGCCAGATGTTGATATTCGTAAGTATAAACTCAGTAAAAATATATAATTTGTCCATTCAATTATTATATATTACATATTTATAATTCATTTCAGGTGTGGGTTTTAGCAAAAAACATAGACCTAGGAAGAGAATGGCTGCGATATTAGCTAAAAATAATACAGCACCTATGAAATTGTTAAAAACGTAGTTATTTATTAAAATAATACATGTAAATACATTATATAATTAAAATTTATACATTTTATTTACAGTCTACTTTATTTCTTCTTCATTTTAATGTCGGTTCAATGACTAGATCTTTATATATAGGACATGGACTTAAATATGACGTTTGAGTGATGAGTAATTTTTTTTTTTTGTATATTTACAATCATTAAATATATTAATTGGTTACGATATAATAGATTCCATGTTATGCTACTCATTATAATTATACTTAAAGAAAAATATAGGAACTTTACACTTTTATATATTAATTAGTATTTACATAACACTTTTTGCAATTTTAAATGGGACACCATGTATTTGGCACAATTTTAAAGATATGTAAGTGATTTATTGTTATTCTCAAGATTCTTCAGTTTCTTATGCGTTAAACTATCATAATGATCGTATATGTAATCTTTACAGATCTGTGTATAATTTATTTGGGTGAAACATTCATTTCATATATATTATTCCTCGATAATTTTTCATAGCAATCTTCGTGATTATGTTGGTGATTGACGGCGTATATCATTGAATCAATAGTTTCCACAGTCGCCGGACATCTATTCAGTGAGAAGTATTGAACACATCTCCATGACGTTTTACCATGAGTTGTTGAATGCTTGGTATACACAAAGTTCATGTGTACGAGTTGTTTGTGTCCTTTCCTGCTGTATATATATTTGTATCGCACTGGAAGTTCACAAGATCCATTCATGACAAGTGACAGAGCATCTGTAATAGATGAGATTGATAATCAAAACATGATTCTTGTTTATAAATATAAAATCATATCAATTTAAGTGAATTAGTTTTCGAGAAAGATAGTTTCAAAGGAGGAAATTAAAGATGGTTTCGAATACAGTTTTTTAATGTCCATTAAAACACTCAAGCATATGTTAAACATCACACAAGAATTATGAAAAATAATAATTCACATATCATTTGTATCAAAAACTGGACCATAGCCAAATAAGGCTATTTAATTTGGAATGTAAATATAATTTAGCATCATCACAAAAATCACATCACCAATACAGAGATCAATATATGTCACAGGGAAAGTGTGTAACTTTTACAAAAATAATTTCGAGTATCTTATGTTTATCTTATATTAAATATAATAAATAGACTAGAATATGAGCAATAAAGTCTTTTGAATGTATGGCAGAAAAATGATGGCACTTTTAGGAAATATTAGTTTAAAAATGTATTGGCACAGATAGTTTTTAAGTATCACAGGTTACCAATATTTTTTGTGCAAATATATCTCTTACAAATTGTAACATTTTTTTTTCGTAACAACTTCTTTAAATTTAGTGTCGTACAAAAATATAACCTTTCTTCATTTTGGTCCCACGCTAGATTGAATCTTTGATTCTATGTTTCTGATGAGAAAGTACTTACTATCACTTGTGATTACAAAAATATACTTTTATTATAACTAATACCTATAAAGACATCTTAAAACAAAAAGCCTTTAATTTACTCAAGTTGCATAATAATCTCCTTGCATATGTGGTGCCTTAAACATATCATTGAAATGAATTTCAAAACATGGAGTTTTGCAAAATGGTAATTCACAAGCACTACACATAAATCTAGTATCACGTCGTTTGCCTAGCCGCCAACAAAGTCTACAAGATCTTTGGGGATATTTCTTTTTCCCATCTTCCTTTTGTGGTATTGTAATAAGACGATGTTCTAGGGAATGCCTCGGAAATTCCTCACTCCTCAAAGTGTTATTAATTTTGCCATTAACTAAGTTTTTGAGATCCATTAAAAATGCGCTCAAACCGGTACAATCTGAAATCACGATTGGCATTTTCAATATAATTTCACCATTCAACAAATTTAAAAGGAAACTTGACAATGTTGAAAATGCCATCGTGTTTTCATAGCATGAAGGATTTGCAACAGAAAACAACATGTGCTAGTGAAATTAACAAATGATTGCATTTTCAACACAATCGCTATTCCTTTATATAATGAAAAGCGTTAGTACAGAAGCGAAACAAAAATTTGATGATTCTTATTAAAAATTAAATGAGTCAAGAAAAAAGAAATAAAAAAAAAATAAGATTATGTGTTAATATGAAAGTAAAATACTCACTTTCCTGTGGTGATTGATATTCCAATGGTATTGATAATCCTTTTTTGCCATCTCTGGGACAAGTGTAGTCTTTCGTTGTGCACACTGCTGGGTCAATAACTGTAATATCACTATCATCACACTCAGTTTTTAATTCTATACGATTATCGGTCGCTACATTTTGACCACCATCAGATAGTTCCTTATCAGAACCAGAGTTTTGAATTTGATTTAACGGAGTAGTTACTTCTGTAGGATTGTTATCATATACATTCTTGTTTTCATAATTGCTGCTTTGCAACAAATGATTGTTCACTTTATACAGTTTTTTATCAGCTACCTTGACTCTTTTCTCGGTGATGGGATCACTGTAATAGTTTTTCTGTAAAAATTCATCAGATTTTCGTTTCAAACTACTCAGCCTGTGTATTTTTTCTAATAACTGTCTTTTCTTAAGTAAATCTTCATTGTTTTCTGTTACTTCATTTATGTTTGGGTCGTAAATGTCTGAGGTGTATGATTCAGCGTCAGGACTATCATTTTGAGGTCCTAGGTTTTGTTTTGTTGATTCTCTTTCTGTGTCAAACACTTCTTCATCAGTCTGTAATATATAAAAATTTGAGGCAAGTTAATATGGCTAACAATTTAAACAAAACTCATCTTTGTATTAGATCCTTAACTTTATGCATTATATATATTACTGCATTTTTTATAAATGTAAAAAGTAGATTTTAGATATAATTTTAGTATCCTATTATGCAGCAATTAAAATATGTTTACCGAACTTTGAACTTTTTCATATTTATGTGATAAATATTACTAAAAGAAATCAAATGTAAAAAAGTTAAATTGTGCTTTAAGTATAAAAGCATATGAAATTTTCAAAAAGATATTTTCATTTTAAACAGTTTAAATATTTAGAAAGCAGGTTTTCATGAGACGAAACGTCTTAGCATCCAATGGATTCACCGTGCAGATGCCGGGTCCATTATTTTTCATTATTGCAGATTTTTTTTAATTAACAATCAAATAAACCTACTAATTAATCAATACTTAAAACACACAGGATCTAGATTCTAGAAAATATATATTTGTTTTGTGTATGACACAGATATTAAGTAGTTTATTAAGCCCGTTTTTTACCATATCTATTGCAAACAATTGTCTGAAAACCAACTGTCTTCAGAGAAAGAAATTGCAATAAAATAAGATGGCATCAAAGTAAAGATTTTAAATTTTATTTTACAAGCCTCTTTAGAGAGGTACTTAATGTTAGAAAATATTTAAATGTGGAAAACATTAAAAATTATAGAAAAGTGAGAATAACTTAAGGACTACATTTTGATTAGAGGGAAAATTGTACTCCAGTAATTTTTTTACTTTATAATATACAACAAATGATATTGAACATTATAATCATTATTTGAATAGATTTTTATGTCAGATATAATTAACATATACCTAATAAGAAATAGGTTATGAAATGTAAAAATATTTGCTCACCTCTTTATGTGTTAATCCTTTTATTTGCAGAACTTCAGCTGTACCAATAAAACTAGTGAGATCTTCTCTTTTCACACTTACTTCACCATGATACATGAATTGTAATAAATCTCTCATGGCTTTATGAGTGACATCTCTTAAAACTACTGTAAAATGGTATAATTGTGAGTTAAAATTACAAGCACATTCTATACGACCAACAGAATAGAGGTTATTAAGAAGATGTTATATATATTATACATACCAATAGGATGCTGACATGGATTCAATTGGAACATTTTTTTGAAATATGGTGAGCATATTGACAGAATAACTTTATGTGCTTGCAGCAAATGGCCTTCGACAGCAATCGTTACATCAACAAATTCACCATTGCCTAATAAACCGGCGAATCCCCTGCTCAGGTTTCCGTGGAAATTATTCCAAGACAATGAAAATTGTTGGTCCATTTCTAAAATCTTTTTTGTCGCATCTATAATATAACATTTTAAATAATTTTTATGGCTTATTGTAAATAAATTATTTTCATAGATCTACAAACTACATTTACTCACTATAGTAGCTTAAGAATATTAATGGTTGTTTTCGCTATAACTAAGATGAAAGCAAATTGTGACAGTTCCTTGTAGCTCGCGGCGCGTCGCGTAGTGTTGCTCCTATGCTGTATGACATTAGAATATCATACCGATTTTTTCATACTTTTTGAATTTAAAATAATATAAAAGAATCAGTAAAAATTTTGAAGAGGGAATAGTCATAATCTTAAAATCAAAACTCGTAAAAATTTCTTGATAGTAGAAAAATTTTATAAATTTTGTAAGTAAATTATTTTGTGAATATTTATTATAGTATGTAAGCAACGGCAAGAAGTATAATAAAATCCATAGAAGACATACTTTATCACAACATATTCAACAGTTATGTAAAAGTTAATGTTCTAGTCAGAATCAGTTTATTATGATGTTTCATAAATTACTTACTCATAAATGCATCATGTATGTAAATCATCATATGTAATGTAGTAAGGTGATTTACCGGTAATTAAAACAGAAAAATAAATACAAGTTATCATTATTTTAGGCGAAGAATAAAAAATACGTTTTTTTAATCGTTTATATCATAACTAGACATTGTTCAAGGATTCTATGCAGGTATGTAAAGTTATTTTGATTTACTTCATCACAAACATACGCTTCAAATCTACCATATTAAAATATTTTATTCAAAGGAAATATTAGAAAATTAGTCGTGTGTGTATGACTTATAATGAAGAACGAAACTTACAATTTAAATTTAATAACTTTTTCGATAATTAATTTTATTAACTATGTCTGTAGGCATTTTACGTGTATGTCTGTAAAACCGACAAGAAATAAATAAATTTTTAGAGCTAAATAAATTTATAAGTGTCGAAATGTTTTAGCATTTAACGTGAAGTCATATACTTGAATGCACCTTGATTTACAACAGACTCGAGTTTGAATGATTTTTCGTGATAAGTTTTGGGTTAGTAGAAAATACCACACTAACGGTTACTAGTTCAGGCATTTGGTGCTCCTGACACTGACAGTAAAATTGCACAAATTGCTAGAGTTGCACGACTTCTAATACCTACACTTCTAACAGAGTTTCCAGTGATTTTGTTCGCTTTTCATTACCTACTATAGAGCTCGCTAAAACTTTTCACTGTTAGCCGCAAACCAGTCTGGCTAAATTAAGTTTCACCAAAACTTTATAGAGTTGTAGACATACATCCGAGATTGTACTTTGACCAAATATATGAAAACTTTGTTTTAAGTATCTTACCTATTTGTTTGACGGTGACATATTGCCAACGGTCAAATCATTTAGTTTACTAATTTTGAACTGTTAAAGTTTTCTTTAACGTGTCCACTATACTTGAGGTGCCAATTAATTAAGCTCTGTAACAGCCCAGTCACCCTATTTCTTTAGATAGCCAAATCGTGACGGAGCACTTTTAATTTTCTGGTGACACGAGTTATAGCGATAAGGCCGATCCCCTTTTCACCCTCTGACGAAAGTATGCAATGAATGGCCTTCTTATTAAAAGTGTAGAAAACTTTCATCATCAAGATAAAGTCCTTTATTGTACTGCTAACACCGTTATGAATCTCCGTACAGCGTCTCCGTTCAGCAAACGGAAATTACAATATGTCGCATTTTAAATTATAATTTTGCAAAGCATATCTGATCCGTCACTTGAGACATTAAAAGTAAGATATAAAAATATTATAATAAAACATTTTAATTGGACTGTAATAATCCTTTACATTTATTTTTATATTTTTGCCTTAAAATTATAGTTTTAAACATAGAATGTATTAAATTTAACGTAATATTATATCGTTCATAGTACCTCGGTCTCAGCGGCGGTCAGAAAGGCTGCTAGTGACAGGTAATCGATGTGGTTTCCTAGTTTATTTGGCTATCGGACAGTTTTAGACATGTGTATCTATGCGATATAATCGATGTGGATAAATCGATATGACTGTGTAACAGAGCGTTTACTGCCAATTCGTACAATATGCCTTTGAAACCATAATAGAGTTTTGATTGGTTAACTGAGCCGAATATTCACGTTTTTTAATTTTAGTTCTATATTGCGTTAGAAAGATATTTTTATCTAAAAATAATTTTAAAATAAACCTTGTTTGTGGTATACGTTAAAATTTTATAATGGTTGTCAATCTCCTTGTAAGTTCGATAATTATAATGGCATTGAAATATCTATCCCTGCAAGTTGTTGTGTGCTTCACAACTTCTAGCTATTTACTATAGGTAACTTCGCACCCTATCTATTAGATTGTCGATAGTCTGACAATCTTCTGTTGAGAAACTTTACTGTTTAACATTGTAGTTACATGCAGGAGAGTAAAATGTATAGTAAGAAGTAACGTATTACCTTTTCTTAAATTAAGGACATCTTTATATGTTTTTATGGTTTTGTATTAATTATATATTTCGTTATAATAAGAACATTTTTATATACTTATCGGACTCATAAATCAAAATGAAATGAATAATATTCAGTAGCACTGATAATTTTCGTAAAAGCAAAAGTATAGTTCTAATAACACGAATCGGTTCTGTTAGTCTTGAGATGGACTATTGAACGTCGACAATGGGGCCAATCACCAACTCTCCAGACCTCTGAAAGCACGTCCCATACTTCCGAGTTGAGGTCGGATTTAGCGACCGTAAAATTTGCTAGTAATTAACGTTATTGTTATAACATCAACTCATTTTTTTTATATACATAATTATTTTTGAATATCTTAATATACTTTTTTATATAATTCACAAGAAAGATAAGCTTTAATTAATCCAATCTCTGCGTTGAATAGGGTCCAATTAAAAAGTAAGCACTCTGGAAAAATCTGACTTCCTTGAAATTAATCCTTTTGATTTGATAATCGACGAAATGAAAATTAAAAAAGTGATGGCTCTTACTTTCTTAGAACAAGCAATTTAAATCATTTTTCTGATTTATGTGCCAGTTAAATAAAACTTGATTTCTATAAGTACTGCTACTACTTATTTTAATATATTATATGTACCTTAAATATGTAAATTGCTATACAATATATGTATAAATTGAGGCAATTTCAGAGGATACTGTAAGGACCCTAAAGTATCATGAACACATATGTCGTATTTTCAACTATTTGAAATCTGAGTTAACAAAAACTTCCACAACTTTTCGGTTCACTAAACCATAAGGCCTTCAAAAGTTTGCAGTTCGTGCACGCCTTTCGGGATAATTGCTCTTCAATTAAGTTGGTGATATTTTATTTTTTGTCTTTCCAATATGTGGTATTAAATGAACATTTATGTTATAGAGATATGTTATAGATGTATAAGTAGAGATAATATTCTTTAAACTAATTATCTACCTCCTTCTTTGGTTCTTAGATATATTAATATCTGTTCTATTTCAAACTTTATTATTAGTTTCTAAAACCAAGAGAAAGTCCTAAAAAATGTTGAGTATTCGATTGTTCTTTATTACAAATTGAAACTCGATTTTGATTCAAACAAGAGTTTAGAGCACTATCTAGAAATAGGAATTTTGACTAAAAACAATATCCTATACTTTATAAAGCTATGTACGCCATTGTGTATGGTGGCTTTTGATTCTAAAAACGTAACCACAAGGAAAAAAATATTTAGATAGTTCTTTTTATGAATAGCTATTGTCCGCTTACAATGTAAGCAATGGAAACACGAAAAAAAACGAAAATATTCATGTTCTAGGATTTTTGTCATTCGGCCGGGATTTAAAATATCTAAATGGTTGGCATTGCTGCATTTTCTGTTTCCAATACCCATCGCCATCACAGTAGTTAGTCCTCATATGTTTTCTGACTTAAAAATGGTATGAGAATGGTGCTTTTAGTAAAATGAAAAAGAAGTCTCTTAGAATATCCCTATCATTTTATATCGAAATGAATATTAAACACGTAACATTAATTATAAAAATAAGTAATTAGTTACAAATACTATTCTATAAATAGATTTTATTTACGTCTTCTCGTTAATAATACGGAATTAGGAACATCTTTAAGAAATAATCTTTGTGAAGTATGAAGTAAACAGCGTACTTATGTATCTGAGGGTACTCTGGAAGTGCTTACTACTGTCTGCCAGTGGACCTCTTTGTGAGATAAAGCTTGCCAGGATGGATTAATCCTCAAAACGATTACGCTTATCACCTGCTACCTCGTAGTAGTAAATTTAAATAATTATTATGATTTTGACTTTGGAAACGTTACTTGGGTATTAAAAATAATGATGATTGGAATTTCAGCTTTCTTAAATAAATTATATGCTATATTAAATTATGATTGCAATTTTAGTACTCTTAAATGTTAATCCTTTATAAAGTTATGTATTAAAGTCCGACAATAATGTATTCCACAATTTATACATTATCATAACCAGTAGACATTTTTTTTTGCGTAATACACATATTAAAGTAAAAATATTTTCCTCATTTTATTAAACTTATTTAAACTTAAATCCCCTAGTTGATTTATTCATTTAAATATAAAGTGAAATCGACAATCTGTCTAAGCTCTAGAATAAGAGCATGACAATGCAACGAGATCGCTAATGCCGGTTGGAGAGGATTAGTTCATGAAATGGTTCGTCCCGCTGAAATCTGTCGATCCTTGCACTCAATACAATCAAGTGCCTACCATTCGAATGAGATATTTAGGCTATAGCTTTGTTTCGGGTATTAGCCAGACTGAAGTCCACTGCTATTTTGGAATAATAATTAATTGCTGGCATTTATGCTACGAATTTGAGGAATTAATTTAATATAACTGTTATACTTGATTCAAAAAAGATATACAAATGAAATGCTCGTTAATTTGAAGAGATAAATAAAACTGTTATATTTATGGCATGATGAAAAGGTGAATTT